CTGTAATATTAAATATACGTAGACATTTGCTGGAATGCTTCTTGGGGTGATTAAAAAACTTAATAATAATACATACATTGGCAATTGGGAGTTTGATGTTTCCTATCACGTGGCCAGTTGTGAGCCATACTTTTACCAAGCATGCTATAAGATGCCCCATCAACAGTCAATAACGATACTTTAATTTTAGTTAATGATGATTTAGCAAACTTATTGACGGTTGTTTGGATGACGATGATGAAGAAATTTTAAGCAAAGATGCAGAAAAAGACGTACAAAATGACAATGTTGTTACTAGCGACACGAAAGATAAAAACGATATATACAGTGGTAAAAGGGTTAAAAAAAACTGTTGAAATTGCATGTACAGACAATTGTAAACCACTGACAGATTTTCAAATCGAAACAATAATTTAAAAGAAGCATTGAGTAAACATGCTAAAGAATGTCAAAAAATTTTGTGAGACAGATACAGGTTGCCCTAATGAGCATAATCCACAAAAGGATGGTCATCCATTGACTTGTTATGAGGATGACAGTACATGTAAAAGCAAGCTAAGAATACTGAGAACTGCTTCTCCTCACAGTCCCATACTATGCACTTTTCTGCGTAATGTTTATCAAGCCAGAAAGTATGATGAGGCTGTCAATCTAATAGATCAAGCATTGAGTGAAGGAGATATAGATGCTTCGATTAAAATTGCAACTGAGTGTGATCCATGCAAACAACGAAAAGAGTGATGTCGCCCAAATTTTCTCATCTAGATATGATGAGAGTGATAGCAACATATATTAAAGGGATCCAGACTTAGAAGTGAAGCTACTTAAAGAAAATGTTAACCTGATAGCTGAGTTCCAAAAGGAAATCAGCGATCCAAACAAGCATGCTTGTTGTAGCTGCAGGAGATGAATGAGATGTAGTAATCTTGCCAAAGTTTTTGATAAGGACAAAGAGAGTGAGGTTTGCAGACAATTAAAAGCCTTCCTCACTGATTACGATCCAAATTTTAGCAGCAAGCAACTTTTAATGTGTAAAACTTGCAAGCCTACAATACGTAGCCATAAAATTCCTAATAGATGTGTATTAAATGATTTGCAAAGTGAGCTTTTGCCAGATGAGCTTAAAGGTCTTGACACTTTTAGTACACAGTTGATTCAATTAGCAAAATGCTTCCAAACCGTTGTTAGATTAGGAACTACACTGCTAAAGTTCCAATATACACCTCCTTAAAAGCATGCAAAGGGACAGTGTTTTTTCTCCCATTGGCAAGTAAAGCAGAAGACTTTAGACCGAAAAATCTGCCAAATCCCGAATTGCTCATCATTTTAATTAATAAAGGTACATAAACTAATAAAATCTGGTGCACTTTAGTCGGTGTCGACAAAGTACAAGCTGCTTATGAGATACTGAAAGACATCAACTGGCTTTACAGAAATTTTGACAATGAATCTTTAGACGATGTAGCAAAAAAAGTCATCGAAACAGCCAACAGTGCTACCAGTACTGTGGTGGAGGAAGCAACCGATGAGGACATTTTATGCTTCCAGTCTTACATGATTCAGAACATAAATTCAAATTTAAACAACGGGAGTGACATCCAGCAATACAAGATGACGCATGTCAGGGAAGACCCACTTAATAACAGACACATGCACTTGGATGTGATTTGCTTTCCAACTCTTTTTCCAACTTGGAGGTTTGGAGAGTATCATCCCAGGCCAGTGAATCTAAATTTAGCCGAATACATAAAGTCTTAAATTTTGAGCGAAGACTCTTGATATCAATTGTGCCTCTTGTACTATCTAACAAATCAAGGAGTTAAAGGGTGGCATATTCAAACTACTCAACACAGTGAAAAGTCCCTCCATAACTGCTGCACAGTTTGTAGACCAAGTCAAAACAAATGGTGAACTTCTTGAAAAGAGGCTCTGTACCATGATGAACACTGTTCATGGCTCAAATCAATACTGGTACCTGAGAAGTGAAGTGAAACGCATGATAGAAGAGTTTGGGTCTCCCACTTTCTTACTTTTAGCTATGCAGAATACACCCCTGCAGACATTAAAGAGTACTTGCACAAGGTAAACACTGTCCCACCGTCATATAACACTGGCATACTCTGCACAGAAGATCCCGCGTCTGTATCAAGACAGTTCTCTGTAAAGTTTAACGCAATGTTCAATAAAGTATTAATCAAGGGACAGGTTTTGGGCCAGGTTAGCAAGTTTTATTACACGAGTACCAGGCCAGAGGAGCTCCTCACTATCATTGTGTAATCTGGATAGCTAATGCTCCAGTGGTTGGTGAGAGTAGAGCCGAAGATGTCATCAGATGCACAGATGAAAGAGTAACTTGTAACATACAAAATAAAGATACCTATCCACAGTTAAATGAAATTGTTACGAGGTACGAGTTACACAAGTGCAGCAATTACTGTAAGAAAAAGAGAAAGTTTAGTAAGAACGTATTTGTTACAAAGTGCAAATTTGGCTGTCCTCGCCCGGTTTCCAAAGAAACAGTACTAAAAAATGTCCAACAAAGCATAAAAGCAGAGAAAAGGATATATCACCTTAAACGGAGCGAGGAAGAAGTTAGAGTCAGCAATTACAATCCTCTGCTTCTGTTGTTATGGAAGGCTAATATCAATGTATCCTTTATCAATGAGTGTTCTCTAGCTCTGGCCGATTATGTGTGGCGACATAACAAAGGCAGAAAGGAGTCACATGCAGGATCTCTGGCAAGACATCTTAGATGATAGAGGCATCTACAGTAAATTGTTTAGAATCGGCATAAGACGTTTCGACAGCCAACCCATTGGACAATACGAAACATGTGATATATTACTCAGCGAGCCACTTTTTAGAAAATTGAGAGAAGTATCATGGATCAATGTAGAAATGCCGCATAAAAAAACAAAATTTAATAAAGAAACTCAGTGAAGTTAAAGAAATAGCAGCAAACGATTCATCAACTGAAGGCTTTTATGGGGAGGGCATTTTTACTCACTTTTATCCAAACAGAGCCCAAGAACACGAACAATATTGCCTTTCTAACTTTGTAGCCAAACTCACTTACAAGGGCAAAGATAAAAATGGCAAACAAATCTATAGACCTCTACAGAAAGAACGCCTTCCTAACTTTATTGATTTTGATGTCTATGAAGAAAATCAGAGAGACAGTTTCTATTATGCCATCAGTCTCCTTTTTGTGCCATTTAGAAATGAGAATGAATTAGTCAAAGATGGCGAAACTGTCCAAGAAGCATTTGATCGCCACATTGGTGACGACCAAAGGTGAGTCGAAGCAAATGAGAAATTCCGAAAGTTGCTCACATGTAGAGAAAAATTAAAAGACACATAAGATGCCAGAGCAGCCAACAGAGAAGACAAAAATGACGTGGAAGACAACGATCGACAACAAATGGGACAGATTAAAGATGCAATGAATGACGTGAGAGATATGGACACTGGATCTGGTCTGACTCTACGAGAGAATTGATGCTAAATGTAGACCAGAAATGCATCTTTGATCATGTAAAAGCTCATCTGTTGAGGTAGATTCAATACGAAAAGAAATTGAAACAAGAGAAAGAACAATCAGAAAGTGTGAAGCCATTGCACATGTTCATCAGTGGTGTAGGTGGTACCGGTAAATCTTGTCTTTTTGAGGCAATTAAAGCACTAGTGAAAAGCCTCTGGTCAACACTGACCCAACAGACGTGCAGTCTGTGCTCCAACAGGCTTAGCAGCTTACAATGTGGGAGGTGTAATGGCACACAGACTGTTTCAGCTGCCAATAGAACGTGATGAATAGTGTGCTTCATACTGGTCAATACCAAAGGCTAGTCACAAAGTAATGAAAACTGAAATTCAGGATCTGAAAATGGTAATTATTGATGAAGTGTCTATGGTTTCTAGCCTCAATTTCACTTCTATATATACATGAGAATTAATGACTTATTTGAATCAGGAGTTTGTGGTGAACCTGTGTTTGACAAAGTAACAGCATCAACAATGAAAGACAGACTTGGTAGTATGGGTGCAGTGAACACATGGTGTAATACTGTCACTTATAACAAATTGACTTCTAACGAATGACAAAAAATGACCAGATTTTTTTAGAAATGCTGGACAAAGCGAGACAGGGCCCCCAGACAATCAGACTCCCACTACACAGTGGTTGAGAATCTGGGGGGGGAGAGGGTGGGCTGGAGCCCCCCCCACTTTTGATGCAGGGGGGCCCAGCCTCCCCACTTTTGAGCAGAGCCCCTCATGCTTTGATATAGGAGCTCTGCCCCCAATTTTATTAACTGCTTATTAAACCTGTAGTTATTAACTCAACCCAATTTATTAAATATTATAAGTGTTAACAGCTGCCTCAATTCATTTCTTTGCTTTTCAAAATCACTTTTCTATCATATTGAGTCAGAAGAGGCCAGCTCAACAGACCTTGTCATCAATGTGGAGCAAGGTGCAAAGGACAGAGAAAGTACACAATTCTCTGGAGTTATTGCTTGTGGAAGTGGAGCAGCTCAGCCTCAGAGTCAAGTGGGCCAACAGCAAGGAGAAGTTAATGCAGAAGAACTTCAGGAAGAAGGCCAGGAGACTAAGGATCAGGAGACTGATGTAGATCAACTTCAATCTAATTTGCCAATCCTAACTGATGGTGACCAATCTCAAGTTGATCATAATGATGACAACACTATATGTTGTTTAGCAGACTGCTGCTCTAACTATCAGGTACCATATGAACCGAGCAGTAAACAGTTACTTGGAAGTTTGTCTCATACCAAAAGAAATTGTCAATATGATTGGATAAAGAAATTTTCATAAATAACTCTTTGTTTGACAATTAAGAAAGTATTCTGTGTGTACTGTTGATATGCATACTTGCACAACCTTTTCACCTTCAGCAAATCGCCGACAAAGCTTTCAGTACAAGCTGTTTCAACAATTGGAAAAAAGCCATTGAGAAGTTTAAGTGTCATGTGTCCTCTCTGGCACATAAAGAAGCATGCGTTAAATGGCATGACCAAGAAGGTACTTCAATTGCGACACAATTAAGTTCACAGGTACGTCATTTACAGCAACTAAGAAAAGAAGGCCTCTTGAGAGAGATAAGGGCTAT